TCAGCACCTTCTCTGCCCTCCACCAGTTGCCCAAGGTTTTTCAGAGGCAACTTACCCCCTTTCCCCAAAGTACTTCCTTCCCTCCAGAAGTCGTCCAATTCTCCATCACGAAGACGGCTTATCCTGGACCCATCTCTCTCGGGGGGAGAAGGGGCTCCCCACTCTGCTGGGAAGCAGGAGGAAGCCCCCTTGCATTGAAGAGAAACGGCGGCTGCTTGGAAGACAGAGCGGATCACCGGCCGAGTGCTCCCACGTGGTGAGATCTTGCTCACCTTCCACTCTGCACCCTCACGGAAACATCCGGGGGCTCTCTCCGGGAGCCGGTGAGCAGCAGGGGGGCACCATCCCCACCGCCGCCTCCCTGCCCGGCTCTCAGGCTCCTCCTTCTTTAAGAAGAGAAGTCAGGATTGCTCTTGATATTCGCAATCGCAAGGCTGTGGAGACAGCCCAAGTGCCCATCAATCCAAGAATGGATTAATAAAATGTGGCATATGTACACCATGGAGTACTACTCAGCTCTAAGAAACAACGGTGATATAGCACATCTTATATTTTCCTGGTTAGAGCTGGAACCCATGACTACGTAAGAAGTTTCAAGAATGGGGAAAGACAAGAATCAGGGATATATTTTCCAGCAAGACTTGGTATGTAACTGAGCAGCACCTAAGTGTACACATAGGGTACGGACCCAGTGAAGTAGGGTATTGGCAGGAGGGGAGGGAGGGCAGGGGGCGGGTAATGAACAGACAGTAGATAGGGATGGGACCTGTCTGGGGAGGGTCATGATGAGACTCAGGACTTTGGGACGGGCGGCGACGGCGAAGGAGCATTTATTGAAACCGTTAAGAATCTGTACCCCATATAGTGCCGAAATAAGAAATAAAAAAATAATAAAGAAGGGAAGTCCAGGCTTCCCAGCAAAGTGTGCAAATGCAACTCTGCGACTGAGTTCCGTTCAAGGGACAAGTATCCTCTCCCGGCGGCCTGGGTCCCCTTCCCGCTTCCCGCTGTTGTCTCCACCCAACAATTCGCATCTGGAATATGCAAGTTTTGCTTGCGTCCGCTTCCCGCGCGCTGGAATGCAAAGTCCCCCCAAGGCCAGACACCCTGGACTGCCGTGTGGGCAGGCGTGCGCGCGCAGGGGACGAGACAGTTGCGAGCGACGGAGAAAAGTCGCGGTGGGGTCGCCTGTAGCGGGCTCTCTGGGGAGCTGAGGCGGTGGAGCGTGAGCGGGGCGAACCGAGAGCATAGAGCGGAACCGCCCGCGTCGGGCGGGGGTCCTGGCGCCGCCCCGCTCCGCGGCTGCCTTGTCTCTACTTCTAAATGACAAGAAAGAGATGAATTGGCCAACGAAAAAAAAGTAGAAGATTGCCGGGCACGGGTGGCACGATGCTGTAGCCCAATGCACTCGGGAGCTGAGGCAGGAGGAATCGCTTGATGCCAGGTCTGAGGGTTGCTGGGGCGTAGGCTGGTGCCACGCAGCTCAGCTCTAGCCTGAGCAACGCGTAAAGTGAGGGCTCCTGTCCCCCGCGCAAAAAAAAAAATTAAAAAAAAAATCTTTTGGAATTGCGGATGCGATGGCATGAAGGACCTTCGTCCGAGGGCGTCTGAATTGGCAACCGGGCGACCGAGGTACTGAGGGACTCCAAAGCCTTATCTTATCCTGGCAACCAACCAGCCTCTGGGTAGCCTCTTGCCCTCCCCCTCCAGCTGGGAAACGCGGCCTCGAGAGAGGGCTTCGCTACGTGCAGCAAGCGCTCGGGCCAGCAGCGTTGAGCTGGATCGAACCCAGGCAGCTTGACTCCGGAGCTCCCGGCCAGTATTCTCTACAGATATGGTGCGTTAACTCCGCGACACGTTCTTATTGTTTCGCCCCCCAGGGAGCGAGCATAAACGCATCCAGCAGAAGAAAAAACAGCCAAAAAAACCACAAAAAACTGGGGATTTCTGGTGCTCCTGCAGCAGCTGCTCCACAAGAGATACATATGCGGGCTGATTAGGGAACTGATTAGTGGCTCTCCCACAAAGCCTGGAATATCAGATTTAGAATGGATGACTATAATGGTTAAGAAGAATGAGTGATTAAAATATTACCACGTCTGAACTTCTCCTCCCTGGCTAATTTCTCCTCCTCCCTAGGGCTGCCGTCTTCCGTGGAAACAGGGGCACGGAGTGGCGGAAGCGGGTTTTATGGAAGCGAGATGATTTTAAAAGGCTTAAATTGGGGACGGTCTGTGCAGTTCTGCAGCGGCTGCCAGTCAGTCTTCACGTCTCGCTGCTCAGGCAAGTAGACGTGGGCTGGGGAGGGGAGGCTGAAGCTGTCACAAGGACTGGAGCTGGAAATGGGAAGCCAGGTATTTCCCGGGGTAATTGCGTGGAAATGGGAGACAGGCTGGGGGGCCTGCAGGGGGGGGGGCGGTTGCCTTTCTGTGTAGGCACAAGGTGAGGTGACAGTGGCTAAGGAAGCTTGTTCCCCGAGGAGGGGTCCCAGGCTTCTCTGCCTTTGCACACGATGCAGGACCACAGGCAGAAGTGCCCTGTTATAAATTGGTTTTGAGGCCTGTTGTGTTGGCTCCCGCCTGTAATCCCAGCACTCTGGGGGGCCGAGGCGGGTGTGGTTGCTCAAGGTCAGGAGTTTGAGACCAGCCTGAGCAAGAGCGAGACCCCGTCTCTACCAAAAAAATAAATAAATAAATAAATAAAAATAACAAACAGAAAGAAATTAGCTGGACAACTAAAAATATATAGAAAAAAGAATTAGCCGGGTATGGTGGCGCATGCCTGTTGTCCCAGCTACTCGGGAGGCTGAGGCAGGAGGATCGCTTGAGCCCAGGAGTTTGAGGTTGCTGTGAGCGAGGCTGACGCCACGGCACTCACTCTAGCCTGGGCAACAAAGCGAGACTCTGTCTCAAAAAAAAAAAAAAAAAAAAAAAAAAAAAAATAACAAACAGAAAGAAATTAGCTGGACAACTAAAAACATATAGAAAAAAGAATTAGCTGGGCATGGTGGCGCATGCCTGTTGTCCCAGCTACTCGGGAGGCTGAGGCAGGAGGATCGCCTGAGCCCAGGATTTGGAGGTTGCTGTGAGCGAGGCTGACGCCACGGCACTCACTCTAGCCTGGGCAACACAGTGAGACTCTGCCTCAAAAAAGAAAAAAAGATAAAAAGAAACTGGTTTGAGGAACAATCGCTGCAGAATCCCAGCGCCGGGACTCAGAGCCCACGCCCCATATCGGCGCCACAAAGACATTCGCTGTGCTGAGGGAAGCTTCCCTGCAGGGAAGGGGAGAGCAGGGAAGGGGAGATGGCTCAGGCTGCCGCTCACACGTGGAACTACAAGAGCCCACGCTTGTCGGCGGTCTCCTGTGAGCGACAGATCAAACCTGTTTAGGGAGCTGCGTAAACCTGGGGTCCCACGTTCGGGCCTCAGCGGACAAGCAGGTGAGGTAACCGAGCAGTGGGAAGGGGCCCAGACCAGCAAGCAGGTACCCCAGGGCTAACAGCACCCCATGGTCGTTAAGTGAGGGCATGGGCCTGCTGTGATCACAACTTCCCGTGTTTAAAGGAGAGACAAATGTGTGTGTGTGTGTGTGTGTGTGTGTTTCCTGTTGCTGCTCTGACACATCATCATCAAACAAAGGGGCTTAAAACAACACAACTTTATTATTTTACAGTTCCGGAGGTCTGAAGCCTAAACTGGGTCTGCAGGCCTGCATTTCTCCAGGACATTCGAGGGGAGGATCCGTTTCCTCGCCTCTCCCAGCGTCCAGAGGCCCCTGGCATGCCTGGGCCTCGAGCCCCCTTCCTCCTCCTCTTCAGGGCTGTTGCAGTGTGGCGTTTCTGTCTCCTCCAGTCTTCCACGGACCGTGTGATGACCCCGGGCCCATCCAGGCAGCCCAGCGCCAGCCGCCTCCCTCTCTCAGGATCTCTGCCTGCATCTGCAGAGTCCCTTTGCCGGGCCAAGTGGCCTATTCCCGGGGGGAATCCAGGGAGCAGGACGTGGCAATCTCTGGGGGGAGGCGTCATCCTGTCTACCGTGGTGCATGCGTGCGTGTGAAAACTCGAGATCTGCCAACCCTGGCGTCCACCTGATTAGCAGACGGGGGAAGACTCTCTAGAAGAAGAGACATTCATTTACTGGGGGAGAAAGCGTTGCAACGAGAATACAAATGTCACAGTAAACCGTGTGTGGTATGTAGGGAGGGGAAGGAAGACGAAGGTCTTTAAAAGAAAAGATGAGATGGATGGCATCGTTGTTTTGAAGTGACTATCCTTGGCTACGAAGGTGAATAAGAGTGACAGCAGTCGGACGGGCAGTTGTTGGGCAGATGTCCTTGCAGAAGTATTTTCTCGTCTGTTTTTGGAGACAGGGTCTCCCTGCGTCACCCCAGGCTGGAGGGCGGTGGCGTCAGCCTAGCTAGCTCACTGCAGCCTCCGTTCCTGGGCTCCAGCATCCTCCTGCCTCAGCCTCCCGAGCAGCTGGGGACTGCAGGCGCCACCACGCCTGGCTTAGGGCACCCTAGATGAAGTTTTTATTCCAAAGGACCATGAAGTCGGCCCACTGAGGTTCCCAGGGGTCTCTGCGGCCGGCCTTCTTCCGGGCAGGGCCGCGACCATACTGCCAGGCGCCCGACCGACAGGTGGCGCAGCAAGCCCCGCCCCTAGCCCCGCCCCTAGCCCCGCCCGTCTCGGCGCCGGCTCGTAGTCCCCGCCCCTGCTCCCCGCCCACCTCTGCGCCTGCTCGTAGCCCCGCCCCTGCTCCCCGCCCACCTCTGCGCCTGCTCGTAGCCCCGCCCATTATCCCCGCCCACCTCTGCGCCTGCTCGTAGCCCCGCCCTTAATCCCCGCCCACCTCTGCGCCTGCTCGTAGCCCCGCCCCTGACCCCCGCCCACCTCTGTGCTTCCTTGTAGCCCCGCCCCGACGCAGCGCCTCCCCAGGTCCGCCCGCCCTGCGCGACTCCACTTCCGCCGGCGCGCTGACGTCACGGGCCCTGCGCCCCCCGCGCCTTCGCGCGCCTGCGCCCCGGGCGGAAGGTCGTCCCTGTGACCGGCCCGGCGGTTGAAGCAGTTGTCGCCATGTTGTCGGCCGCCGCCCGCTCGGGCCCGTTCGCGCCCGTCCTGTCCGCCACGTCCCGCGGGGTGGCGGGCGCGCTGCGGCCTCTGGTGCAGGCCGCGGTGCCCGCCGCCTCGGGGCCGCCGGTGCTGGACGCGAAGCGGCCCTTCCTGTGCCGGGAGTCGCTGAGCGGCCGCGCCGCGCACCGGCCTTTGGTCGCCTCCGTGGGCCTCAACGGTGAGCCGGGCTGCGGGCAGCGGCCGGGGGCTGAAGGGCGTCGGCTCTCTCGCTCCCCCGGGCCTGGGCGCGGGCGTGCGGAGCGGGAGCCTCTCCGGGGAGACGGGTCGTGGGGCCGGGGCGACCTTGGGCCGGCGCCCGCGCCACCTCCGCCCTCGCGTCCGCACCTGCGGGGACGCTGCAGGTGGGGCGAGCGCAGGTGACGGTGCCGAGCCCGGGCAGTCCAGGCCTCTGGGCGGCTTGCTCTCGGCGGCCGGCTGGGCTCCGTCCCCTGGCCAGACTTTGGCACTCACTGGTCAAGCTCAGGAGCTCCGGGGCCCTGCCGCCTCCTGCAGAGCCCGGGCAGAGGGCGTCGCTCACAGGTCGTTGGACCCGGGCCACGTTGCTAAGCATTTTCTGTGAAATGGGTTCGTGGCTTATACCCATTCTGTAGGGACGTCGTGAGGCTTAGATGGGAAAACCCTGCACACAGTGTGGCCACTTAATAAATGCTTAAAAAATTGGCCTGTTGTTATGCAGTGGGCCCCTTCACCACTGCTGACCCCTTCAGTGTCTTTCCCCTTCACCCCCAAAACGACACACACAAGGTCAGCCGCAGGATAGTGTCACAACGTGGTCAGTTTAATTTTGGAGAAGAACAAGCAGAGGTTGGTGGCATTCCCGTCTGACAGATGAGAAGACAAGACCGCAAGAAAGAGGCGAAGTGACGTGCTCAGGGCTACACGGCGTGGATTTGACAAGGCCGCGTTGGCCGTGGGCCCTTCCCTGGGGCTGTCCCACACCGTCTGCCGTCAGATCCCCCGTTGTCGTCCACGCCTTGTCTTCCACCCCTCTTCTTCACACGCTCTATACTGGGGATGCACAGGTGATGACCTGTAGCTTTTAAAAATTGGGACGACTCCCGGCATCCCTTGGAAATGGTTGGGAGCTGGGGACACTGAGCTGCAGTTTTTACACGGGGGAAGTCTGGTGTGCGGTGTGTTCGCTGACCCCACAGTTTGAACCAGGGCTCTTCTCCGCTTTGTCACGGTCCTCACCAGGCCTGCCTGTTTATTAGTGTTACCTGCCTGGTCTCCCTCGACAGCTGAGTTTGTGAAACTTCCCCTAAATTGCACTCACTCTTTTCACTCTGCCTTCGTTCACCCTATTTTCTGCACTTTTAGTGGCTCTCCCAACTCGGTTTTCACATGTGCACATGTTTTCCTTCTCTGTGCTTTGAATCTCAAGGGTCAAGTAAATACAGTTTCATATTTGCCGATTTATGTCTGTATAGCACATAACACTTTCCACTCTGTTGTGTTTATTGGCAGCTCCTCTGACCTTGAGCTTAAGGACACAGAGAATGTCTCCTGTATTTTTTTCTATCTCCCACTACCTCAGATTTTGCACACATGGTTTGGTGCAAAGTATTTGTAAATGAATGTTTGCTAAAGAGCACCGGTGGGTTTTGAAGAATCTGTGCAGGGCCTGGACGTGAGAAACAAGAAGGGAGGAGAGAATTTCAATAGCAAAGGTAAAAAGCGTCTTTGGAATTTGTCAGGTGACTGAAGGGTTTCTACTGAAAATGGGAGGCTTACGTGTTGTATTGAGAGATTCTTCTGAAAACAGGCAAATAATATAGAACCGCAAGGTAGAAACCTGTTTTCTGTAATCATGCCTTTGGGTTGTAGCTTAAGTTCACAGTAAAATCTGTCTAAATGGTTTATGGAAGGATGGGTGGTGGTGGATATGATCAGAGGGGTTGGGTCAGGAAAAGACCCTTGAGCTGGGGAGGAAAGTTGTACTATTACTCTGTTATGCAGATTTCCAGTGCTCATCAGAGGTCACCTTAAAAAATTGTTTTATTAAAATACCTTGATTTATCTCCATTTCTAGATATTTCCTTGGAGTATCTGGTTTTGCTTTAGATTACAATTAAATCTATTATCTTTGCTACTAAAAGACCGAATACAGCGCATGTAAATATTTAGAGAATGATTTTTGCAACATGGCAGTTTCATTTCCTGAAGGGTTCTTGATGGTGTAGACCATTGAAGTGTAACCTGTTAGAGTGGGAGTAGACGGTGGCCACCAAGTCTCTGAATGAGGGTGGCAAAGCCATTCTGTTTAGTGCCGGTGTACATTTCCTTGTGGACTGCCAAGGAGTGTGGACACTCTTTTTAATGTAAAAGTATGAACTTTTGATTCCGTTATCTTTTAGGTGTGGAACACATATGTTTTGTGTAATCCCAGTCAGTGCTTGGGGAAAGGAATTTATGCTTGATTCCAAACACCAGTCTACACTGACAGGCTAGCATTGGGTATAGTAGTGTATGGTGTAATGTCACTTTGATTCCACAAAGCCATAGAGGTGAATGTCATGTTGCCACTACCTGTGTCCTGGTCCCCTCCAAGAAGTGGTTGGGTTGCTCAGAAAGTACATAGAGTGATTTTGATGGGTTTTGTTATTGTTTGTGAATATCTGTGGCTTCCACAAAGTTACTGGCCCTGGGAACCATGTGCAAAGTGGTTGGGAGTATTCTGCGTTGTGACGTTTGACTACTGAAAGAGGTAGAGTGTGTTAGGATGAGGCAGGCTTGTAGACCAAGGTGGAATTGCTGTTTACAATAGTGGAAATATATTCTGTAAATGCACCTTTGTTTTGGAAACAACACATTTTCTAAAAGGCAGGACATTTTAGTGTCCCCTTTTCTGAAAATCAAACCTTGTGGCGGATTCCCTAAGACAAATGTACAGTTTGCAAAAAGATTTGGTTCCTGAAACATTCTTAAAAGTGGTACTAGTAAATTCACTTTTTTTTTGGACAGACATTTAAAAAATGTTATGGGAGAGAAGGACTTTTTTTTTTTTTTTTAAAACAAACTACTTGTTCCCAAAGTTCTACCTAGACACAATTATTTGCTCATTTAGCATTCATTTGACACAAATTTTGGCCTAATTTATGGCCTGGAGTAGAAGTATCCCGGTTGAGAGACCCGTAACAGTGAAAAAGATAATTTCCCTACTGTTGTAGAGGCTATTGCCCTTCATTGAAAAGGGGATACATGAAATTTTGCTCTTTTTTTCCATTTCTAAATTGAAATAATTAGCTCTTTTACAGATTTCATTTTATTTTGAGAGCTGCCTATTCTGATAAGGATGTCCTTTTCTACCCATTAGTGGTTTTATTTGAAGTTACAGTAATACTAATTTATCCCCTAGGGTCTAAAATAGAAATCTTTAAATTTTCTGCAACTAAAGTTATACTTACAGCTCACAGAATGTTTATTATCTTATAATTAGTATTTTATGAGTTTTGAATGGTTCTTTCAGACAGCACGTAGATAAGAATATAACCGTTAGGCATTTGCCTTAATGAGATGATCACACAGGAGCTTACCGGAGAGACTAGCTGAGTTTGAGCTGCCTCCTAGTCCAGAGAATATGGGAGTTTTTAGCTTGGGTGTAGACTATACCTTGGCAGTTGAATTTTTAGGAAATTTGAAATACTGCTATTTATTGTGCTATTTAACCTTTTAAACTCGGTGCACTGAGATGTCACAAATCCTGAATCAGCAGTGTTTAATCAGGAGGAGCTCAGTTTACAAACGCTGTCTTGTAGCTCCATACCGGTATGGTAGGTAGTGGTTTGACTTCGTTTCGTGTTTAGTATTTTATATTCCGCCACTGCCAGTGCGGCTCTTTCGTAGACCCAGTGGGTGCCATGGTTCACGTTTTCAGGTTTGATTTGTGAACCCGTGAAGGTCTGTTTCCTGAGTGTCCCCCTTTCAGGGTTCTCGTGCGATTGTGCTCTCTCACCTTCTGTTTGTCTTGCAGTCCGTGCGTCTGTTCGCTGCTCCCACACAGACGTCCGAGTGCCCGACTTCTCTGACTACCGGCGCGCCGAGGTTCTGGACAGCACGAAGTCTTCCAAGGAGAGCAGCGAGGCCAGGAAGGGGTTCTCCTATTTGGTGACCGCGACCACCACCGTGGGCGTCGCCTACGCCGCCAAGAATGTGGTCACCCAGTTCGTGTCCAGCATGAGCGCCTCTGCCGATGTGCTGGCCATGTCCAAAATCGAGATCAAGCTGTCCGACATTCCGGAGGGCAAGAACATGGCTTTCAAGTGGAGAGGCAAGCCCCTGTTTGTGCGCCACAGGACCAGGAAGGAGATCGACCAGGAGGCTGCGGTGGAGGTGTCCCAGCTGAGGGACCCGCAGCATGATCTGGAGCGCGTCAAGAAGCCCGAGTGGGTCATCCTGATCGGCGTGTGCACCCACCTGGGCTGCGTGCCCATCGCAAACGCAGGCGACTACGGCGGCTACTACTGCCCTTGCCACGGGTCGCACTACGACGCGTCCGGCAGGATCAGGAAGGGGCCCGCCCCCCTCAACCTGGAAGTTCCCTCCTACGAGTTCACCAGCGACGACATGGTGATCGTCGGGTAGAGACTTGGACCCCAGCCACGGGCTTCCCGCAGCCTTCCTGTCGCCTCAGGAAGTCACGTGGGAAGAGCGGGCCTTCTGTACTTCACGTTGGTTGATTTGGAATATTTAAGAATTGCTAATAATGTATCTGCAAACATTAATGCGAAGTAAATTGAATTTAATGTGGAATACTTTCAAGCGTTGAGTTAATAAAGCCACTGTTAAGCGTTGCTAAGCTCAGTCGTGCACTCGAAAGGTGCTGTGTCTGACGGCTCGTTCTAATTAAAAATTACAGGCTGGTGTACACGGATTCTGTGAAATCTGTAATTGGCGTCCTCGTTTATTTTCTTGCCCACGTACTTGTTTCCTGCTTTGTTTCGGGCGCACAGGTTCCTGGAGCTTTGAGCTTTGTAGCTCATTCATTGTTAAGTGAGGCGAAGTTGGCTGGTCCTCTCCCAGGTCCGGGGAGGTGCTCCTGGTGTTGGCGGAGGCGGTAGTTTTTCACAGGACCCGGTGGACGTCTTGGCCGTGTCCTCCCCTGCTGCTGCGTGACGGGCAGCAGTCCGTGTGGTGACTGATCTGCTGGGTGGGTTCCTCGCGGGCGTTGGCGGTAGTTTTGAGGGTCCCTCTCCAGGCTGGCTGGCTTTCTGCTCAAGTGACAGGCCAGGAAACGGCAGTCATTCCCGACGGCTGCAAGTTCGTACGCACAGTTCTTTAGTTGTGAGAGGCAGTGGTGTGGTGTAGCAGAGAGGCTTTCCGGGGTGGGGGTGCCTCTGCTGTCCCCTGGTTTGGCATCGTGTGTGTTCATGCCCCCAGAGCCACGTCCGCTCTGCCCAGAGGCGGAAAGGGAGCATCTCAGACTTCGGCTGTCTGTGCGAACACGCTCCTGCTGGCTTCCTTTGATTGCGTCTTGAGGTGTCTGTGGTCACTCAGCACTTTCCACTGCAGGGGTGGGGCTGGGCATAGCTCATCACAAGTGACATCTTACTGTCTCCTGCCTCCCGTTACTCGAGTGAAACCGGACTTGAGGTCTGACATCCGTTCCCGCTGGGAGCTGGGAGTGGGCCTTGCCCTCTCTGGGGATCTTCCCCATGGGCTTGCCGTGTCCTTGCTGTTTGGAGGTGGGCCCGTCTCGTAGTCACGTGTGCACGTGTGAAGCAGCCAGGGCGGTCAGCTCTGCCCAGAGGGGACTGGCCGTCCCATAGGGTTCCGGTCTTCAGTGTCGGCAGGTAGGTGTCTGCGCCAGAAACGAAAGTGTCAAGAGTTTTTGTGCTTGTGAGCAGGTATTAGTCTTTCATTTTTTTTTACCATCCTAGAAACACAGGTACGGATGACGGTTGGTGGGGCTCACGAAAGTGTCTTATGTTCTGTGTCTGCAGATCACGGGGGCTGCACCCTCTGGGGGTGGGGATGGCAGGGCAGGGATGCGGAACGTTCAGTTGGGGGGGGGGAGCGGGGAAACAGGTCCACACACGTGACTGCTGCCAGAAATGTCAGCGGCGCCCCTTCCCCAGAGAGAGGCACTGACCCCCCACGTCTCTGCTCCCCACCCCGCAGCGATGCCCTGGCGTTCTTCACGTCCTCGTATTGGCAGTGCCTAAGCACCGCTGTGTCAGAGTCCGCCCGGCGGGTGGAGGGCGGAGTGGGACGTTTGCAGGCCCTCCCCCCCAGGTGTGTTTGTCCTGGGGTGGCCGTATGTGGCGGCCGCTCACGCCGGTCATGTTTTGAGTGCGGCAGTGGGATGCCGCTGAGTCCCAGTAACCCGTGTAGTTTTTAAGAGAAGTCTGCATCCCACGAGTAATGGGGCAAGCCAGGTCGCTCGGTACGACTTGATAAATGGGCAGAGCAGACCTGGGAGCTTTTTGACAATTCCGTGGGAACAGAATCCTAGGTATTGGGGGGAGACCCGACCAGTTGGCGTTCCGACACCAGATCGCTAACTTGTATTGCTTTTTGCTGGGAATCGTTCTTGGGTCCACCCCGAGAGCCGTGCCTTTTCACTATTGTTCAAGAAGTGTGATAAAAACTGTCCTTTCTGAAAATTTTGCGTTGTTTGTTAGAGATGATGTCAGATTTACTTTGGTCTTTCCGAACGGACCCTTTTAAAATCAGTCAAATTGTGTAGAGGGCTTTTGTCCTTACTTGATATCTGTGGCTTGGCATCCTCACTTTTTCTAAGCAGCGGGAACATAACAGCTATTTATCTGAATGTCCAAAGTCCTTCTTCATTCTCCCAGTATGTTCATGTCACTCGAATTCCATTACATTGTGCGTTATCGACCCGAAATAAACGTCCCTGTTTTTCAGAATGACGCCCTCGGCCCACTGTTCTAACACACTCGCCATCTGTCTGCTGATGACTCCCCTGGACCACTTCCCCGAGGCTCACACTCCTGTTCACCTGTTCGCTGGGCGTCTGTCTGTGTGTGGCTGTCCTGTGAACACCTTTTACTCAGAATGCCAGCTGCTTCATTGCCGGTGGGGCCTCCCCATCTACCTGCTAACCTACCTGGCCATCTAGAAACCTGCCTCCTTCCCATCACCTCCTCCCCCTGGGCCCAGATCAGTCCCCAAGCCCTGCTAATCTAATCTCCTTAGTACACTGGGTCTGTTGACTGCCTGCCGTCTGCAGCACCCTGGTAATGGCTGCCTCTTTGATCACCGACTGCTGACTGACCGCTAAGCTGAGAGCACTTCAGGTACATATGATCTGTAATCCTCAGAAAACCCCGTCAGGTAATGTTGCTATTGATAGTTAATAGCTGGGGAGACTGAGGCACATAGAAGTCTGTTGTCACCGTCGTAGCTGGTAGGTTGGTGGAGCCAAAAGCTTTATCTTAAGCCAGGGAGTCTTGAGCTCAGAGCCGATGGGCCCGGTCGCCACCCTGTACTGCCCGCCCTGGGAGGCCGTGACAGTTCCTGCCCGGAGCGCTGCGGTGAGATGCCAGACAGGCCTCTCCTCCCGTCCCGTCCCCTTAGAATTTATCCTCCTAATAGCCGCCAAGCAGTGTAGACGTGAAGGAGTATCGGGTTGGTTCTGGGTTCCAACCCTGGCTCTGCTGTTTCTTAGATGCGTGACCCCCACGCAAATCAATCTCTTGCCTCTCTCCCCTCGTCTGGAAAAAAGAAAATAGCTCCTGAGAGGAGTTGTAGGAATTACATTCACCTGTCAAGGGGTGATGCCAGAACTTGACGTGCACCCTCTGCAGAGGTCTTCCTCACTCCCGTCCCGCCAGCCAGCCCTTTGCTGTTAACACGGAACTTGCGTGTTGCCCACATCCTCCTGTTTTCCCCCAGCCGGTTCCCGTGCCGTCCCTCTGCCTGGTCCCCTTCCCTTGCCCTTAGCCAAGTCTTCTGCCTGCCTTCAGGAGTCCCCTTGGGTGCAGTGCCGGGTTCACTTTCCCGGCAGGTTTTCCCAGGATAACCAGGGTGTATCCCCTGTGGGGTGTGTGTGATCCTCTGTTGCAAGGCTCACTTCTCTGGTTTGTCCCCTCACCACCAGACTGGGTGGCACGGACTGCACCATCCAGTTGGATGCTGAATAGGAAAAAAATATTGAATTTCTTTTCTTTTTTTTTTTTTTTTTCTTTGATGCGTCCTTGGGTTGTCTGGTGGTTCAACTCAGCACTTTCCCACTGCAGGGGTGGGTGGGACACAGCTCATCACAAGTGCACATCTTACTGTCTCCTGCCTCCCGTTACTCGAGTGAAACCGGACTTGAGGTCTATGACATCCGTTTCCGCTGGGAGCTGGAGTGGCCTGCCTCTCTGGGGTCTTCCCCATGGGCTTGCCCGTGTCCTTGCTGTTTGGAGTGGGCCCGTCTCGTAGTCACGTGTGCACGTGTTGAATACAGCCCAGGGCGGTCAGCTCTGCCCAGAGGGGACTGGCCGTCCTAGGGTTCCGGTCTTCAGTGTCGGCCGGTAGGTGTCTGCGCCAGAACGAAAGTGTCAAGAGTTCTGTGCTTGTGACAGGTATTAGTCTTTCATTTTTTTAACCATCCTGAGAAACACAGGTAGAATCGGTTGGGTGGGCCTACGAAAGTGTCTTTATGTTCTGTGTCTGCAGATCACGGGGCTGCACCCCTGGGGTGGGGGTGGCAGGGCAGGGATGCGGAACGTTCAGTTGAGGGGC